AGTGTAGTTGTGGTGCCTTAAGCTTACGAGCCTCCGAGAAGAGCTGACTCGTCCAGTTCTTCACTGTGGCAGTGTTATTGTTGGTGCAGCGCTGCGTGCGCAGTTCACAGCCCTGCTGCAACATTGTCTCTTTTGCTCTTCTCAAGTACATGCCGCATTATGTTCATCTCGCTTACGGTACGGCACCAGTCGCAAGGCCGAAAGAACCCACGGCCCTAGCATCTCGCGTGCGGCGCTTTTATAGTTCCAGTTTCGTCGCAAGCTGGCACAGTTATCAGGATAGTAGTCCAGCGTGGGCCGTCTCGTCGTTACCCCCAAGGGGCCCAGTGCTTTAACCTATCACCGTGATCGTATTCAAAACCGTAGAATCGACATAAGTCACCGTCACCGTGTTCACGTGCATCTCTAGGCACCCGGCTACTTGGTTTCATGCGAGGAAAAAGCGAGGCCACCAACTTTTGAGTCGTGTCGACAAGTTCCCGCCATCGCCTAAACTCATGCATCGCTGATTGAACTCCGCTGGTGTTGCCGGGCCAACGCAGCGCCGGTGTCTGCCGCTCCGACAATGCGCACACACGCGGGCGGTCGACGAATATCCGGTAAGGAAAGAGAGTGGCAGGTTAAAGCCGAACGCGGCAGCGATGCTACACTCTCAAAAGCTCAGCCAAACCTTAACATTAGACAACCACCGGTCCTTTACCCTAGCCGTTTTAAAAGTTTCTTTTGGGTCTTTTTCTACCATGGTGTGTTCGTCCGGTGCGATTTCTTCTATATATTGATACTGATATCTATAATATCAGAGTACGAATAGACTACTAAAACTGATATAGTGCTATACATAGTCATAGCGCTGTGTTGGTAGTGTGTGTGTTGTGGTGGTGTGTGTGCTGTGTGTGTGTGGACCGTCGTGCGTGCCGTGCGTGCGCTGCGTGCGCTGCGTGCGTGAGTGCGCCGCCGCGCGCGTCGTGTGTCAGGTGTGGCGTTTCGCCCGCGGCACGAAGTCGAAATCTTAGACTAGAAAGTTACTCTCACGAATCAGGGAGCCTTTACTTCAAAGACGGTTCGACATCATGGCGCGCCATATACGGGCGCCGCGTGGTCTTGGTGCCGAGCCAGTCACCCAACACGTGCGCCCGAATGCTCACCGAAATCCGCGCGCTAAGGACAAACAACTCGCCAGACGTCACGCGTATAAGAAACAGGCATCTCGCTCCCGGAGACCGCCGCGCAGCAAACGCGCAATCCTGCAAACTCATCGTTCGAACGGAGTGAGCGCGATGCTCGATCTTATATATGTGGTGATTAGAACGATTTTTATTCGATGAAAATGGCAACAATGGCAACAGAACTGTTTCTAAGATGGTGGTGTGCCACCACGCGTCGCGCCCGTCGCTCGGCCAGTAATGCATATCTGAGATCAAACTAGCCGTCTGAGTTTTGCGGCCGTGATTAAACTACCAAATCACATGTCATTGCTTTCTTCATAGCTTTTTCGCATCTTTAACGTTTAGTATTTCGCGTTAAAATGTTTGCTAGGCCCATTAGGGAAAAAATCAAAAATGACCTCATCATAGTTCCCGGCTCGTCGGCTTTGCCTTTCAGGGCCACGTACCGCCCGCCACCAACGCACAAAGGCACATACACACATCACACACCACACAGCACACACACAGCACATACTTCGTACACACATCACACACAATCACACCCACCAGTGTTCGGCACAACACACACACACAGCTGACGGGCGCCACACTACACACAACACGACACACACAAGAGCGCCCGTTGCTACGACCCACACAGGCCGCCGATCACAAACGACACCACATCACAGCGCCCCAGGCACACACACACCACCACCGGCAGCGGCAAACACAAACACCAAGACCAAGAACGCACTACAAACACAGCAGCCACACTAACACGCAACCACAAACAGCCCACACCAAGCACTACACTGGCCGGCACAGACCCACACAGCCGGTCGCGCCGCCACAGAGCATAAGCACACCGCACACCCACATCACGACAAGCATCACCCCAGCGCACCACAGCGACACCAGCACCAGCACAGAGACGACGAGACGCAGAGATCCACGACGAGAGAGAGAGGAGCCAGAGGACGGAGAGAGAGAGAGAGAGAGAGAGAGAGAGCGCCAGAGACGCCGTACTCGGCGGCGGCCGATAACGACCATGTCCTAGTCCGCGTCGTTGACCAAAACGTTAGCAGATGTCGCATCTTCGTCTGACGTAACTAATTCAAGCAATCCTGCAGTGCGCGCGGCGGAACGCACGCCCAGCCGCGTGCCCTTGTCTACTGCACGGTGTTGAACCACCCGCGTCCGCGCCCCCCCAGGGCCCCGACAGACGCAGCGGAGCGTGCAGGACCAGCAAAGCATAAACGGTGCTTGTAAATCAACTAATGTTGAGCCAGGGGCCAGAGGCGACCAAAATCTACGCCGCTGCGCCCCAGCCCTCCCGGTGCACTGATCGCAACCCCGCGCCGCGCCGCAGATTCATGTGCTCGCCCACACCATGTTACGGCATCCCCACACCCCACCCCGCCCTCGACGCTATTCGAGAAAGATGAATAGTCTAAACGTTATACTCATACCCCCTCCCGCGACATCTTCAGTGCGTAATCAGAAAGAAAACTATTTCGAATCATACCAGTAAGTAGACTATTCGGGCCGACATATTCTTGTTGATTTGATATCACGGACTGTAAGTTCTCTTATAATTATACGGTGTGTCTCTGACCACTGACACCCGCCGAATGGCCTTTGTGGACTAAGCGTGAAGCATATCGCACATGATATATTACTAGATTAATCGTACAGGATAGGGGTAGTTAGACTTGTATCTATCTTAAATCATTGTTACTCAGCCGCGTGGAACCTCCGTCGCCGCGAGGTAAAAGAAAACTCCGCTGAGTAAATCAAGCGGTTAATATGCGACAAATGATAGACCGCCGCCCAAACCCTACACCCTGAATTTACATTTCCTCGTTCAACCGCGGTTCTTAACATTCCAATTTAAAGCCTCACGCCCTGATGAATACGCGCTAGCGAGCTCGGTTATTCCATCATCGGTATGTTTGCTGGAGTCACCGGCCGAAATGTACTAGTTACAGCGGGACCGAGAGCGAGCGAAGATAATGATATCTAGCAGAGTGATAATAATATATAGATTCTATTACTTAGAGATATATTATTATACACTCCTGGATCATATCGTACGGTACACTATCATAACATAACCTAACTAGAATAATATACATAATAATAGTACACCTACCATGATATATACGTATATATGATACTATATCATACATATAATAGGTGTGAGGTGATTTAATATATATAACGTATATATTATAAGATTGTGTGTGTGTGTGTGTGTGTGTGTGTGTGTGTGTGTGTGTGTGCGTGTGTGTGTGTATGTGTGCGTGCGTGCGTGCGTGCGTGCGCGCGCGTGTGTGTTTGTGTGCGCGCACGGGTGTGTATGTTTTCTCGTTTATATAAATTTTTAAGTATAACAACCGTATAGCTGATTTCTTTCATATAAAAACAACCTTTGGTTTCCTCGTTCAGGGATAACAAATCGCTAGCATCTCACTGGAATCGCTGGAAAATAATGTAGACAATTAATGTTGGACTAACGTATGCTCGCTAGCTGTTATTTTGTTATTCTTTTGTTATTCTTACAATTGACGTGCGTAAATATTTTTTGTATATTTCATAAATCACATCATTCGTCTTCAGTTGCTACAGCAACGATGTAACTCATACTACGTTTTTACGTGCGTAAAATAACTGCGCGGAATGTATCATGTCGGCCCAATACGTTCGCCCGCCGCTAATGCTGATGCTAAGAATATGACGATTTGTATAGATACCAACCTGTAAAAATCTACATACCGCGGACTTCGTAATAACCCGCGCGTTATACCGCCCTATACCTGCATGCCTTGCTACCTGTCGCAGTATTGTCTTTTTTCTTTCGCAGAAATGGAAACGCGAAAACGACCAGGGGCGAAACTCGTGGCTGTTAAAAACTTCAAACATGAAAAATGAAGTGGTCGCAGGGAGCGCACGCCCCAGAGCCCTGTTAAAACACATACTAGCAGTTTTATCGGCCGGTTAGGCTTTGAAAAACAAATAAAGGACGTAGAATTTACGACGCGGGCAGGATGGACGCAGTGGGGAGCTCCAGAGCCCCTCTAGGCACACATATCTGAGCGCACAATCTTGCGAGCTTTGCGATGCACTCGGGTTTCGAACAAAACATCATCCCGAGTTATTTTGCGCCCAACAGTCACCCTACACCCGTCTCGGCTTTCAGAAACGGAAAACATGCCCCATCTGGGCAGAATTAATGTGCGCGCCCCAGCAGCTGCTGATGAATGCCAGATCCCGGGTCGGCGGGAGCTACTGTCGACACACACACATGCGGAGCGGTGGGAAACGCCAGGGCGCGCATCGACGTCTCAAGGAGCGCCCCACTTTCTCACGGGCCGGCCGCCGAACGGTGGCCAATTTAGTCGCGTTTTGTTCGACGGGTCCACGGCAATAATTACCCATTGTCGACGCCGTAGTAAGGGCTATTCAGTCGTGGCGAGTGAGTAATTGTCAATAGCCGGAGTTTGTTTGCCCGGATCACAGGCAAGTAGCAGCGAAAAGGTACATGTGTACACATACGCGCTTTACATAATCGTGAAGTCAGAATTGATCGCGCGCCGCCTCCTCGGGGGTCGGGTTTCGAGATTGACAGCGTTGCCGTGGCAACCAGCGCCACTGATATCCGCTGATAGGCCAATAAGCCAATCAGGTGTCGAGCAGACGACCGTGCCACGGCAGGCAGTAATATTCAGCGGTATAAGTAAACGCGAAGTCTGGCGCGTGGTTTTGACCAGTGTCCGAATGGGACAAACACGAATTCCACGCGTATAAGTTGTACGATCGCGTCTCGCGCCGCTAGCAGTCGCCGATCGGCACACGCTCAATGCAAGACGGAGTACAAGTGTCGTACCCGCACAACATGATGGTAAATTCAAGCACGGAGCTGGGTCTGCCGAGTTTTGGTTTCACGCAGGAGCAGGTCGCCTGCGTCTGTGAGGTACTGCAACAGTCCGGCAACATCGAGCGTCTTGCCCGCTTCCTGTGGTCGCTGCCCGCCTGCGAGCACCTGCACAAGAACGAGAGTGTTCTCAAGGCGAAAGCGCTCGTCGCCTTTCACAGACAGAATTTCAAAGAGCTCTACAAGATACTCGAGAGTCATAATTTCTCGCCGGCGTCGCATCCGAAGTTGCAGGCGCTCTGGCTGAAGGCGCATTACATCGAGGCGGAGAAGCTACGAGGGAGACCCCTCGGTGCCGTCGGGAAGTACAGGGTCCGTAGGAAGTTCCCGCTGCCGCGCACGATATGGGACGGAGAGGAGACGAGCTACTGCTTCAAGGAGAAGTCGAGAACGGTGCTGCGAGACTGGTACGCGGCCAACCCGTACCCTTCCCCGCGCGAGAAGCGAGAGCTGGCCGAAGGCACGGGCCTCACGACGACACAAGTTTCAAATTGGTTTAAGAACAGACGGCAGCGGGATCGAGCGGCCGAAGCCAAGGAGAGGTATATCTTCGATTTCCTATTATGTTTTTTTGGCTTTGTTTCATTATTATTAATTACGCAGTCATCGATTTTCGGACGATATATACACATATTTATTCATTTATTTATTTGTATATTTGTTTATTAGCATATTTTTATGAACAGTTTGTGGACATGTGCGCGTGGACGTCTGAGTAAATGTGCGCGCGCTTGTGTGACTCTATGTAATTATACATAATACAATACATACATAATTCAAGACAGAATAGGAATATAATTTAAAAAGGAACGATTTTTTTAACGTGTTCGATCTATTAGATTGCTAGCCAAGTATAATTATTTACCGTAAACACACTAATATATCCCTGGGTAGTCGGCTTTATACATATATTTTTCACGTATACTCGTACCGAATAAATCACCTTACATTCCATAATGACGCACTTGTCAAAACGATTAGGAAAATTAACAAATATATACCGTTCTAGCTACCTTAAAACCTTGCCTCAAAATGAGCAAAATAACAACATATTTATCCTATCAAAAACAAAGGCACATTCAGACCTGTGTTGGCACACTTACGCGCGCGCGCTCTCTCTCTCTCTCTCTCGCTCTCTCTTTAACACACACACGTACAGGCACGCGTACACACACCCCACACGCACACGCACACGCACACGCACACGCACACGCACACGCACACGCACACGCACACGCACACGCACACGCGAATACTCGCATGCACACACGCCACACACGTGCATATACGTATATAGATGAATAGAGAAGAGAGAGTGAGAAACGTACACACATAGGCATGCTCTCTCAATCAAACACGCTGCCTCGCGCTATTCCACATCCATCTGCCCCTCCTCTCTCTCTCTCTTTCCCTATTTCTCCCTCGCGGATCACACACACCCTTATATCTCTTGATTGCTCTCGCTTTCTCTATAAATAAATAAAAATTTATTCGTATAGAAATTATATAGTGATAGAAATGTTCTATTATGAACTCTTGATACATACATACGTTCATAATAACCACACTTCCTTGTCTTCTACCTCACTCGCCCCCCCCCCCCCCACACGTGCCTCCGTTTCCCATTCTTTGCTTCGCTATCTCTGATCACAGTCGCGATTGCCCCAGCTGAACACCTGCTTATAGATAACAAAACTAGCTTCACACACCTTTCGCGCATCAGCGTAACGCTAACAGAGCACTTATGCTCAATGTATATATATCTGCGCCAATTAATATTAAACGGCAACAATTTGCGTGAATAATTGAACACGAGTAGCTGAATGTGTGCAGGCGAGTGGGAGTGCCAGTGTGCATTGTGGGGGGGATACTATTATAAATGCCATGAACACTGGTCGATGGCGGGACGTATAGGTAAGGTAAGGTGAAACCGGGCGAATCTCATCGAACGCTGCATGCACCCCAATATCGAGCCATGTGTGTAGTCAGCTGGTTGGCTTCCGTTAATTGAAGGCGATGACTAACCTAAGGTGGATTATCATGGTACAGTAATGCACGCATAGTGTGGGTTGGTGGGTTAGGCATTTGAAGGCATTAACAGGCAGTTGAAGGATGCTGAGAAATATTTAATAATCGTGCTGTAGTCGAGTGTGTAGGCCTATATCATGTGCATATATAATAGACACGCGCGCGCAGATACGCAGCGTAGCAGGCACGCTCGCGCACGCACACACTCACGCACGCACATACACACACATACACGCACGCACACCCAACAGAGACCGACAGACACGCACACACACACACACACACACACACACACACACACACACACACACACACACACACACACACACACACACACACACACACACACGAGACAACAACACACACACACACAAACACTAGACTAACACACACACACACACACAACACACACACACGCACAACACAACAACA